GCGAGCGGCTCGAACGTCACGCCGCACGGGGTGGCACGGGGTGGCATGGGGTGGCACGGGACGGCGCGACGCGTCAATGTGTAGTCACCGCGCAGTCATTCCCTTATCGAGACTCGTACAGGCAGGTAGCCGTGTCGCGTGCCGATCTTCTTCTCATTCCTTTTTAAAACATAATCGCGAAAAATGCTAAATGTAATACGAAACGTTGTACTTTATGAATATTCGCAGTATACGATTACTAGCTCACAAGTTTAATTACTCATAAAAGAATCGAGATGATCATATATCATATATCATGGAACAGATATTTTGTACGGTTCAATCAATTGGAACCAAAACTCGATGGAAACCAGAATTTATTACTATTTCGCGATAATTACGGACAACAATTATTTTTGTTTAATGTAACATTTTTGTCTCGCTTGAGTATAACTCTCGATTATTTTTCGAACGGTATCACACGAGTCATAAAAAGTAACGTTAATAAATACTCTCATGCAAATAACGCAATTCATGCGATTCCTAGTTTCACAATTAATATAATTTGCTTAATTAATAATTAAATTAATTCTTTGTTTTCGTGCATCCATCATGATATGATAAAAAATTGAGTGTAACTTTGAAACTATTTATCGGTAATAAAAGAAATAAGTATTTCTCTTTTTTTATTAATCTCTAGCTCATTCTATTAACTCTAATCACATCTTACAGATAAGAGATTTAGCCCTTTTATATCTGCTCTAAATTTATTTCATTTTTTGTTTAATGTAACATTTTTGTCTCGCTTGAGTATGACTCTCGATTATTTTTCGAACGGTATCACACGAGTCATAAAAAGTAACGTTAATATTTAAATACTCTTATGCAAATAACGCAATTCATGCGATTCCTAGTTTCACAATTAATATAATTTGCGTAATTAATAATTAAATTAATTCTTTGTTTTCGTGCATCCTTCATGATATGATAAAAAATTGAGTGTAACTTTGAAACTATTTATCGGTAATAAAAGAAATAAGTATTTCTCTTTTTT